TCCAGCTTATTGCAGATATTTATTTTGACATAGATCGTGCGTTCATTGTAATCAATGTTAATAAAATATCTGTATCAACTAAATAACGTTTATCTTCTGGTAAAAGACTACATAAAGTTTGTGTATCTCCTTCATTTTTCTAAAATAAATAAAGAAAAAAACAAGCCAGCAGAAAAAATTTTCATATATGAAATATGTTTAAAAATTTCTATACTTTAAGTGCTTCACGAACGATTTCTAATGTTTCATCACCAAGAACTTCACGTAAGTGTTTTTCTTTTTCTCGATCAAGTTGAACACGATGTTCAAGATTATCTTCATCTTCTTGATTACACCAAATATCATCATCATCATTATAATCATCATTTTGTATTATTAATTCTTTTGATTTATCTGTTTTTATCACAGGTTCACTTGCTGAATGTTTTATTTCATTTTCATTTTCATCATCATCATCATCATCTAAATAGCTTTGTAAAGCTAATGTTAATGTATGTATATCATCTTCATCATCAGATTCTGTTTTTTCATCAATTGTATTTGAATCATTACTATTCTTAGTTATATTCGTTTTCTTTGTATTACTTGAAAATGATGGTCCTTGAGATGATTGAATAATATCAGTTAAACTTCGATTTAATTTTCTTGATTCAATCAATGTTTCTTCAGGTAATTCATCAATTTTATGTAATTCAGGATTTGAAACTGTACGAAGAAGCTAAACAAAAAATTTAATTTATTAATATAACGCTAATAATAACAGAATAATTCAACAAGACTATATTCAACTAACAGTTCTGATTACTAATAAATGTGAACCTTCCGATTTACTTTGTGAGCAAGTTATAATAACGTATTATAGCAATAGTAGATCTTGATTAGGGTTAAGAATTTTTGACTTATCATTATCATACTAAGATTTTAATTAACAATGAACGAAATTTTCGTCATTCTGTTTAAGATAATCTACAATATTCTTATGATTTGTAGAAGGAAAATGTGCAACTGTCCCATTGTCTACTCTAGGACTCGCGATAGTTTTTAGAAATGGAAGGAGCTCAAAATTTGATAGTCTGTCTAGTAGAAATGACTCAAAAAAAAACTGTCTTCAGAAATTTGCTAGATAGTTTTCCGGTAATGACTTGAAATTTTCGCAGACGCAACGTAAAAAGTGGAAGGAACTAGTTTACACCACATCGAGACCTATGGTCTATTTTAACATTCAAACATATACATTGAAATTATGCTTATTAATATATGCTACAGTTCAAAGAGTCTGTGTGATATAAATATTGAGAAAATGGTTCCGAGATAGAGATCAAAAGCGACTGACCGTGTTCATTCCTAATTTGATATCATGAGAGAAAAGTATTGTTTTATAGATAATAATTGTTATATTATGAATTAAATTACTCTTACTCGTTTATTCTTAGCATCAAAACGTCCTGTTGTTAAACATTGAACGAGTTCGTCTTTGTCTGGTATTATTTTAGTTCTATTTTAAAATTAAATAATAGAATAATCAATGTTAAGTTTTTTTTTTCTTACTTTAATTCTTTGTCTTGTTTCGATTGAGATTTTAATGTTTCATTCAATTCTTTTACAACTAAATCATTTTCTATGGTCGGTTTTTTTGATATATCAATTGTAGGATTAGAAGAAGTAACTGATTTTGTACTACTTATAATATAAGTTTCATTTTTTCTATTTGGATTAACTCGATTTGCTAATGCTGTCAAATTAATATTCGATGTTTCAGTGTTCATTGTACTTGACATTGTATGATCATAAACATTCGCATGTTCAAGTACATTAATAATTGTACCTCGTGGTCCACTACCCCATTGTGATCGATTAGGTGTATTTACATTGCCTATATTTATTGCTTGTCCTTGAACATTTAAATCAGTTAAACATGTATCAATCATTATAGATTGACGATTAAGAATTGCTGAATTTAGCGCTGGTTGTTGATTCCATTGTGAACGAGGTTTTGGTGGACCGCCATGTTCTTGCCAAGCTTCTCGAACACTTCGTTCATTAACATTTTGTAAAATAGCTTTCTTTTTCTCTTGATCCAAACTAGAATGAAAACATTTTGTTTGTAAAAAGAAATAGTTTAAAAATTTGATTACAACTAACCTAGAAGATGGTCGAACACCAATATCATTTAATACTTCGGTCAGCTTATTATTGACTGGTTCTATTTTTTTTAAAGCTTCTTGACCTTGTTTCTGTTAAATAAGCAGAAAGAAAAAGTGACACATTTACTTTTCTTTTCTTTTTTTTTTTTTTTTGTAAATATTTACTTCTTTTTCTTTTTGAGCTAGAACAACTTGTTGATCGTAAGCTGAACGATATTTTTCATCGACTTGATTATTACTAGTTGGCTAAATAAATAAGAAAAATAAAAGATTATAATCAATAAATCATAATTACTTTATTTATAGGTAATTTTTTCAATGCAGCCGGAGGTTTTTCAATTGCTTCTCGTTTATGTAAAAGATTTTTTCGACGAACTTCTTCAATATTTCGATTCATTTCAGCAGCTGCTCCCTAAAGTTAATTATTTTAGAAGGAAGTAAACAGCGTGAAAAATATCTTACCGCGCCGTAACCTTGTCCACGAGCTTTGTTCTCTTGAGCTTGACGTTTATTTTCTAGATATTCATTTCTCAGTGCTGCTGGTCGACCAACATTTGCACTAAAATAATTACAAATTTTATTTTGATTCATCGTTTCTTGGGATTTATAAGTTCATTTTAAAGGCTATGTCCTTATACAACATATTGTCTGTTCTATCCAGGGCTACCACGACGGCTGAGTGGCTGCACTGTTCAACATATATCTCAAGGTACTACATTCGAACCTCAATGGCACCAACCATGGAATAATCCTGAAAATGGCATGTATGATGAGCACAAGAATTCTACGTCCTTCTCCCCAGAGCTACAGCTAGTATTACCTGTAGCAAAAAGATATTGGACTATTGAATCTGCCGGTAGAAAAATAAATCATCTTATTTTTACTAGTCAAAAATTATAGAACTTTAGGAAATATTGTAATTATTTTTTTGAACGAAGCATTAATTGTGTTCAAAAAAGAAAGAGACAATTATTAGGATTATGTTACTGATCTGATTAAGTATATTACAAAAATATTCATACTATCTGATAATCAACATTTATTACGTTTACATATTAAAAACTGAAAATAAACTTTTAACTCTGTAAACTATAATAAATCGAGAGCAAATGTAATGCATAAGAAAAAAATAAATATCACCAGACAAAACTTTAATTTTCATAAATATTTACCCTGGTGTTGGACGTAAATTTTGATTACCGGCAACTGGTGTTCGATATACTTGAACGTGAGGATTAGGTTTTTGAGGTTGATTAACTAAAATATAAGATTTTCAAAAAATAGATCTCTAATAACTACACAGTGCTGTTTCAAAAGTCATCATTAATATGTAAAATACGTATAATTCTATAAATTAATCAAGCTTAATCCAATATTTTTTATCTAAGAGAAGAAAGTTGTAAGTTTTTTAATTTTTTAGTGTTATGTTCTATTTTATTGTAACATGCGTAAATACTTACAAAAAACATAATGATAAATCTAAAGATAGCAACGAAAGAAAATGAGGAGACAAACAGTGTAATAAAGAAACATAGTGTATGAAATCGGTCCCACAGAAAAGGAAGATCAAAAGGTCATACATCTATTTTATACAAATGAACTAAGCTGTTTCCTGGAGAATAGTGCTATGGAGAGAAGAGCAGGTATGATTCTATTGGAGTAAGAAAAGATCCACCACACCCACGAATGAAGCATAGTGAACTAGACGAACCACTGTTCTAAACTTTCTTTCAAATGCTTCTTGCTGAGTTTGGAGAAGTAAGGGGAAAACCTAGGCAAAATGAAGAAAGATGTAAACAAAGAAACATTGTCTCAATGATTCTTTAGAGAAGCATGTGTTGACAGTCAGCATTTTTACTAATCTAGACAGATCCAAAGTACTTAAATGACTTCACTATCGTTATCTTTTGGTCTAATATGTAAATATCAATTCTAACCTGTTTTAGTTTGGCTATAAGCTTTTAATCTTATAGATAAAATATATAAGTACTCTTCAAAGATCATGATAACCGGCTGTTAATATAAAAATTTTGCATTTATTCAGTATCATAATAGAATATATAAAGTTTCTATTTTCTTTATTGACTTCAGTTGATATGGCTATGATGGAGATTTTAAATCATGCATATATCTCTTACGACTGTTTGAATAGTATTTGTGAGATAGTTTTTGAAAAGATTGACTAACTGATACTGTTTTCGAAAATAATTTATTCCTATCATTGCAAAAATTTTCATAATCGATACAATGAAAATATTTGACTAAGCTTAATTAATAATGAAGTTATACGTATTTAAAATGAAATCGTGATTTTGAGGATATTCTGTACATATATACTTTTATTCCATTGATCCATATTCCGTTCTCCCTCAGCCATTTTCTGTTTATGTTGATCTAATAGTCCATGATATTGATCATAATTACCTGCTTTTGCTACATTAGGAATCGGTGATGCTGCAACCTTTATTTCGTTTAAAAGAAAGTAAATAAAATATGATATTAGACGAATTAACATACTGGTTCTCTAGCTGATGAAGGAGTAGATACTTGATTCATTTTAGGCTGTAGGACTACTGGTGGTGTAACACGTTGGTTACTTATGCCTGGTAGATCCTATAAGAACAAAATCGATACATATATACAGATAATAATACTCTTACCGGAGTACTATGACTTAACAGCAAACGACTACGTTCTCGATCACGATCGATAAGTGCTTGTTTCCCTTTTTCAATTAATTCTTTTTGTTTTTTTGCTAAATTCTCTTCCTAATATATATATATATATATACGTAAGTTTTATAACAAGAGTGTTTGTTTGTTTGTTTGTTTAAACTTACTTCTTCTTTAACTTGTTTTTCTCGTGCTTCTTTTTGTTTGGCAGGTTCTTTACGTCGTTTGTCTATCTCACTTTCTTTATCAACAGATATAATTGATTTTCCCTTAACTTCATTCAACTTTCTCTCTTGTGATCCCCTGAAAGAAAGAAAATTCATAACTTTGAAATTATCAATTATTATTTTTGTTAACAAACCGATTGACAGCAGTAGGATTTGCGGAGACTGGACGTTTCATAGGTGATGCACCTCCATATGCCTTCATCGGTTCGTAAGGTGATGCTTTTGATGCTACCGAATTTGGACGAGCCGAAACTGGTGCAGGAGGAGGAGGCATAACATTTACTTTTGGAACTCCCGATGGACGAGATATTGGCGGTGGATTTGGATGCGCAAGATCAACAGATAATCTTTGACCATGTAAAACAGTATGATTAAATTCAGCTTGATGTACCTATATCATATCGAAAATGAAAACCAAATAATCGTTAATAAGAGAACTATACTTCTTCTGCTAAATATTTTGGAATACGTCGATAGATGAATTGTTTTCGTAAAATTGTATTGACAGATGGACGTTCGCTATATAGTAATAGAAATCGAAACTTATGTATAATACGCTTTAATTGAATTTTTCTTCTTGGTTTTTCTTGCTTAAGACTACTGATGCTTTTTTTTTAAAAATATATATTCATATATACAAAAAAACAGGAAGACAAAAACTCGATATACTCTTATTGTACATTGTAAAAAAAAGAATATTTGATCCTTTTTTTTCGGATATATAGTTTTTTTTTCTCTAAACTTCAGGAAGTTGTGAGTCCACGTTTTTATGGATCTGGATTTGCGAGCCCGGCATCCGACATTTATATGACTAAGTGAAGAATCAAAATTTTAACTATTTATTGGCTACTCTAAGTAAGATAAAAAATCAATGTATAGTTATTTCTTGTTGTTCATTCTCCCATCACTTGATTCGTAAGAAATTAAAAGTTTTCGCTTAATTGAAAAGAGCATTATATTAGCAAAAAAATTGAAAGTGAACAGTTAATTCACAAACAAAATTCGTCAAACCAACAGTATCATAGCTATATGGAATAGTTTTAGTTGTATTTATGCACACAAGATTAAGCATGAATATGTTCTATGCAATCAATCTCGGGAGTTGAACGTCTACGTTTTTGTAGACTCGGACTTGAGTCTGAAAGGATCTGCAGCCCGCGGACCGGATACCCGTGTATCCGTACAGGTAGAGTACGGATACAAAAATTTTTACCCACGTATCAATCTACCTACTATCGACGACCTGTTGAGCTCATTCAATCGAAAAAATGATGACGGATTCCGAGGATACCGATTTCTATGGATTCGATGAAATACATAACTGCATGAAAAAGAATTTTTTTTTTTTGTCAAAAAGATTCTAAAATGTTAAAGTGATAGTAAACTTATTCAGTTGTTTATAAACAACTATCTCATTTAGCTATGGTTTCATTATGTATTTCGACAATGAATGAAAGAATATTTAGCAAAACTGAACGAACGCTAGAGACTATGACTCTTATTATTTCCTAGCATATTACTCCTGTAGTTTTTCGTAATTGGTTGTCGTCATCATATAAATATTATTATTTTATTCTGATCCATTCAAACTAACTAAAATAGTGAACTGATATTCTGAATTTTGATTATGACTACGGTACGAATAAAATTTGAGTATGAAATTTACGGGTAGAGTACGGGTATGAAAATTTGTATCCATGTAGTATTCTACTCCCTACTGAACTTTATGTATTATTCATCATTAATATGTCAAGCGATGTAGCGAAGTCTGTACTTAATAATAGTGTCCGTTCAGCGAAAAACATAAGCAAAAGTAAATTTCAACGAACTTTTTTTGCTTGAGGAGATTTGATTGTTATGTTTAACGATGATTCATCGTAGTAGGTGTTTATATAAATAATAACTCTTATTCGTACTGCTCTTCTTGGGTGTGAATGTAAGTGTAAATCTTTTCTCTACTAACTGATATATCTATATTGATGACTGAAAGTTCGAAAAAATAGTTTGAATTTTTCATACTTATAGTTTATTTCTTAAATCTTATTAAATGTTATTTTCTATTTTGTTAAAAATAAAGATTTCGATGTTTTGCAATGATATCTCGTACTTTCTCACTATATATCAAATCTCGAAAACAAAAAAACTAAATTGCAGTAGTCTTAAGCAGAAAAAACACCAACACTCAATTAATGTTCTAATTTATCATTATACCGAGGTTCTCGTTTAAGCATAGATGCTATTAAAGTTCGTAAATCACCACTAAATTTCGGTGGAATAGGATTAAATGAACCACTACAAAAAAAAATGAAAGAAATTAAATTTTGTTTTTTTAGTTGTGTATAAAATATCAATTATTACCGAATAATTTTCATAACAAGACCATTCATATTATTAGCATCAAACTATAAAAGAAAAATAATTTTATATAAATTTTATATTATACAATTTCTTACAGCATGTTTAAGAGTAGTTACTTCATATAAAACACAACCAAGACTCCAAACATCTGATTTATTATTATATGGTTTTTGTTGACAAATTTCAGGTGATAAATAATAAGGTGTACCTATTTGTGTACGTGCAAAATCACATGTACTATACAAAAAAGCGAAAATCAATTCAAAATAAATAAAAAAAAAAAAAATTTCAAATTCATTACGCATTTAAAACTTTTGAGATTCCAAAATCGCCTAATTTTGCTGAACCATCACGTGTTAGAAAAACATTCTGAAATAAAAATTTCATATGAAAATTGTTTTTTTTTTTCTTTCTATTTTCATTATTTACTTGTGATTTAATATCACGATGAAGTACTTTTCTATCATGAACATGTTTAAGTGCAAGAGTTATTTGTACAAACCAATCAAGTATTTGATCTTCATTAAATAAAATTCCACGTTGAGCTTGTACACGTGAATGTAAATCACCACCATCACAATAATCCATTATGATAAATAAACTTACTGGATCTTAATTAGAAAAAATAAAAAAATAAAACATGTCAATATTTTATTAATTAAATACCTTCAAATGAATCGATATATGAAACAATATATGGATGTTTCATTTCACTGAGAACTTTAACCTGAGAGACAAAAAAAAAAACGTTAATTGAAATTTGAAAAATTTTTTTCTTTTCTTAATTTAATAATATACTTCTTTTCGTGCATCATCACGTTCTTTCTTGGCCATCTATTCCAAAAAAAAAAAAAAACGAGAATTTCAATTAAATAAATAAAAATTTACTTTAGCAATTTTTATTTCTTTCATAACGAATTTTTTTTCTTCTTCTTTCGGTTGAACAAGCCATGCTTGACCAAAAGCTCCAGAACCAATTAATTTTAGTTTATTGTATTTCTCCATTTATTCAAATTAAACTAAAAGTACAAGAGATTATTGACGTCAATATAAAATAAAATCATGAATCATCGGGATGTTTAGCCATACTCGTGTATTCTACCATCGATACCACCTCTAACATAGACTAAAAAAAATAAACAGATAGCAGCGACCTCAAGATTTTGATGATATGGACCAACCATCTGGATCGATGTCGTGTCACTTAATCAAATAATTCTAGTGGTAGGCATTTGAATTATAACGTTTTCGATTGATTTTATTTTACAAAAATGCTTGATATCCAATGGCCATTTCCAACACATATGGTAAAAAAAAAGTGCTTAATTATTTTAATTAATCTTTAAGTTTTTCTATTTTTAAAGGATTTTCGTGGTCAAAAAATGGCTGAAAGACTTTTTCAAGTTATTATTATTTTATTTGGCGTAAGAATTTTTATTCTATATTTATTTTTATTTAATCTAATATTTTTTTTGTTTTTTGATTATAGATTGTTGGTTTTCTTGCTGGTTATATGATGCAACAATTTAGTATGACTATGTATAGTGTTCTTTTTGGAGTTTTGGTTTCTGCTTTAGTATGTTATTTAAATTATGAATAGAATAAATAATTTCTTTCTATTATTTAGTTAACATTACCACCATGGCCAATGTATCGTAATAATCCAGTTGAATGGCAAAAACCAATAGATTCAAATAATAAAGAAACAACAACAAATAAAAATGCTTCATCAGTAAAATCACCAAAAAAAGATGTTCGAAAATCAAAAGCAAAAAAGGAGGAATAGAGAAAAAGAAATATTCTGAACATTTTTTTTTTTCTTTTCGTTATTGTTATTGTGGAAAAATAAAAATGGATCGTATTTGAAAAGAAGAAATATATTTATATTTTCGATGTGCTTACAAGCGAATTATACAAAATAATTCATTACTTTTGATCACATACTTAAGACACATATTGGTCTTCTCGATAGAATGATGATGATTTTAGCTGAATTATTATTCTAGGATGAAGTATTGACAAGAAAATCGAACAAAGAATCTTTGAAATATTGTCTCTGATGAGGAAAGATGCATTTCGAACTGCTGAATCTTTGTCTCTGAGGTTTCGAATGTTTAGTAGATTTTTCCTATAGGATTCTAGTTTTCAAGCGCACTTATATTTTTCAATTTTCATCTGAAACATTGCTTATACGAAGGCACCGATTTCTACAAGCAAGTCTAATCGGTAACTTCGTATGAACAATGTTTCGTATGAAAATTGAAAAGTATGATTACGCTTGAAAACTGAGACCCTACTGGAAAAATCTACTAAATGGTCAATATTTCAACAACAAAGGCCCAGCCGCTCGAATCACTCTAGAGTATTTATCTACTCTTTAGGCTCTATCGATCGAATATAGTTGCAGTTTAAAAAACGATTTATCACTTGGGGACCTTTCTTCGTCAGAGATAATATTTCAAAGATTCTTTGTTCGATTTTCTTGTCATTATCTCTTTATAGAATAAAAATTCAGTGGAAAAATTTTAATCACTCTATCGAGAAGACTTGTATGTGTTTGTACCATGTGTTCAAAAGTGGTGAAGCACTTCTGGTGTTTGCTTCGTTAGTTTAGGAATTAAGTAAGCAAATGAAATAATTTTAGAAACATATCTGCTAATAATATCTATGCACGTCTTTAATTATAGCATTGTGTATGAATTATTCTCAAGATACATGAGAAGATAATACGATTAAGTGTGACATAGTTCCGCTCTTAAGAATTATTGAAAGTTCTAAGTCTTATAAATTAAACTCTTTCAATATTGCTTTAGATAGGAATCGTGATGTTTAAAACAGTTATATTTACTGGTTTTGGTGTGTTGGAATAATTCTTTTGAATAGTCTACTGTAAACTTTAGAACTTGAAATGTCTTAGATCTAAATATAATTCAACATGTTTTAAATAATGGTAAACACCATACGAGTGTATTTATTCTAAAGTTTTATCATTTCTACCCACAAGTAGTGTCCTGTGGGAACGATTTTTCTCAATTCTCGTTCCCTGTAATGCTTTCAGAATTCCTATTATGATTTTATTTTTCTTGTTTAAGCAAAACTATCATTAGTAGATATTAGCTTCTATCACCATCGCACTTTGCGCAACATCACATGGCTTTAAATTAAAAATAAAATTATCAGCGATGGTACATTTTGGTAAAATAAATCAATTATTATTTATACATTGAAATTTATCAACATTAAGTTAAGAGGATTATTGTCTTCATCAATTGAAAACTGGCATCCCACTCCGCCTCTTTTTCCTCTTTTCTTTTAAAATTCCTCTTTTTAGTCATTAGTTAATGTTACTATATCATACGAAAAGATCACATAACACAAACTGATGTGTCGATCAGTCGAGGTGTATAGTTAAGGAAGCTAAATTATATGATTTTAGTGATCAACTTCAGCGATGTTATATATTCCTAATTGGGACCTAATTTTTATAGCTCTCTAGTGGAGGCAAAATCACTCAATTATATTTTCAATGTGAACTCATCATTCTCTCACAATCTTGGTAAGTTTTTCTCGTAAAGATCGACATGTAAAATGATAATATCGGCTTACTTTTCTTGATCACTTTTTTCTCAGTTCCAGGATGGCTTGTGATATGAATCTAACAATAGATAGCTAACTCGTAGAGTAACGTATGCGTCAAAATAAGAAGAAGTTTCCAGAGTGGCTAGATCTATCCTAGAATCCTATCAGATTCGATAGGATTTCTTCGACAAGATAACTTCTGATAGTATGATGTCGTAAGTTAAAGATTTCTGCTTATCAGATATCGTTAAAATTTTTTATGTTGTATCCGGCAATATCTGATCCTTCAAAATTACTGAGTTGATTACAGATGCTGTGGTATATTGCTAGCTTACCTTACGCTATTGATTTACTGTCAAAATGAAGTAATCCCTCTCCCTCCGAGTTTCTCCGTATACAATCACATTTCGGACGATCGTATATCTCTAAACCGTACACGGAGAAATATAATTGTATACGACGAAATACAGAGTAAAACGAAAGCCGCAGACGAGCTTTGTTTGTCCATAAACGATTGTATTTCTGCGTATACGATGACGGAGTTATATGGTCGCAATACTGGGCGATGTGAAACACTGTATGTCTCCAATTACAAGCGTGTTTGATTGACATGGATTAATATTGACAATAGTTTGATGATACTTGGAAGAAATCGGATATGATGGAATGCGATAGCAACAAATAGGGGTGTTCCACTGACCAAAAAGTAGAGGATCATACAATCTATCCAATACAGATAAGTCGCTTTCTACAGAACGCAGGAAGATGACCATATTTCACTGGGAAAAATCAAGTGTTTTCGATAGCATGGGGTCAAACGATTTCTTAGAAACCCGCTGTCTGGGCACCATTGCAATCACTGTACTAATTTACGCTAGGAAACAGAAAAGTGAAACTGACTTGCGAAAAATGATCAAAATCATGGAAGAATTGCTGGAAATTGAAAAAACGAAAAAATACTTTTCTCATATCCACAGTCATCCGAAAAAAGTAACAAAAAGCAGAAAAAAAAACGTTTAATGAATTCTGATCGTTTCTATTTCTGTGTGCCAACTTAGTTAAATAGAGTAATATTATAGTTAGATACTACGCAAATAGAATAGTCTATTTTTTCTAATGTTTTTCCGTTTTCTAATGCATACATAAGCAATTGCAGAAAAATCTCTATGAACAATTCGAAGTTTCGTTTCTTTTTTACTCTTTCAAGTCATATTCAACCTATATTGATAACGCACGAGTTTTGTCGGATTTATAGTACTATTGTGCCAGTGAGTTTTAGTTTTCTTCGGACGAAACTGTATGCCTCTTTTTCTCCTTTTTTTTTACAAAGTGTTGGTGAGATGCCAGATTGAAAAGAGAAAAAAAATACTAGCAGATCAACAGCACCCATGAAAAAAAAACGAAAACATTCAAGAGAAGAAGATGATAAGGACCAAGAAAATAATAGTTTTGATAATTTAATTACATTCAAATGAATAACGGATGAACTTATCTAATTTTTGTTGATAGGTATTTTTTATTTGTTTTTTAATCGATAAGCAATACAAAAGTCTTTGGAAGAGTGTCCGAATCAATTTCTTGACAATGTAACATCGTGTTGACTTCGACTTTTTTTTTTTTTGAAAAAGCAAAGTTCGGAGAGTAGATACATAGAACAAAACAATTTTCAAAAATGCGCGTTTTTAATATCATTCCTGAAGTCTTCACCGGAATTCCCGATCTCTGCAAGACATAGAACGGGAAAAATCGTTTTCACAGAACACTAGTACCCACACCCTAGATACTAAGTATCGGTTTCTATAATTGTGTTACGTTCCATACGATGAATCCATAGTTCATTAAATTTTCTTACAAAAAGTACCGGTGGATTCCGAGATTTTAATTATCATGTTTTTTCTATTTATATCACTATTATTGAAAGAGATAATGTCAGGCCCCGCGCGAGGGTCCCAAGATTGGGGGGGGGGGGGGGGTGTGACGAGATTTCAAGGCAGTCAAGGTTGAGGGAAGCAAAATTTTTTTTCGCATCAGATCTGATGTTAATCTTTTTCTGCGGACCTAAAATGTAATCATTTTTCGCGAAGCGACAACTTTTTGCAACCTCCTTAAAAAATTTGATTTTTTTCTCGCAAATTTTCAAGAAGAGAACTCGAGTCCAATATGAGAAAATTCCTCGATACTGTCGTTATCGAAGGCGACGACTTTGGCACAAATTGCTCTATATCAAGCTGTTTCAAAGGAAAAGTTGACTAAAGTATTATCCGATCCAAAATAAAAGGCAAGTTACCATTTTTCGAATAACTTTTGATAGGAACGAGATAGAGAGCTGCGAGTTTCACCATTCGAAAGAGCGATGTCCGAGCCATCGATCGGTATAGAACTCATTAAGACGGAAGATGCTTTTTTTTTATAGGTACCTTTGGATCAACACTTTTTCTTTTGAGTATTTTCATCAAGTTTCACGATAATCTCAACTCAAAGTATGTCAAAATATAGCTCAAATCACCCTTTTTTCGCTATAAAATTAACATTTGTTTTTTTAAATCCGCTTAGAATAAGCGATTGAGAGATAATGAAATATGTGATAATTTTATAGCGAAAAGAGGGTGATTTGAGCTACATTTTGACATACTTTGAGTTGAGATTATCGTGAAACTTGATGAAAATACTCAAAAGAAAAAGTGTTGATCCAAAGGTACCTATTAAAAAAAAGCATCTTCCGTCTTAATGAGTTCTATACCGATCGATGGCTCGGACATCGCTCTTTCGAATGGTGAAACTCGCAGCTCTCTATCTCGTTCCTATCAAAAGTTATTCGAAAAATGGTAACTTGCCTTTTATTTTGGATCGGACAATAGGAAGTTTGTCTAAGTTAACTGCGTTACACAATTGTTATTTTTCGCGAAGCGAAAACATTTTTCAGACTCACGAAAAACTCTTTTTCCCTTATGTTGTTCGAAAGCAAAAAGTGTTGTGATAACTCTTATAGATTTCGCCGCCGAAGGCGGCCACGCTAGTGACGATTGTTGGAAAATGAAGCTCTTCAAAAGGAAGAGAGAAGTAAAATTGCATTAAAAACAAAAAAGTCACAGATATTTCTAGGTCGAATACGCTCCCGTCGTCATGTTTTCGCGAAGCGAAAAATTTAAACATCCCTTCAGAATTTTCTAGCAAAAAATTTCAAAAAGATTTATCGATTTTGTTGGCTACGAATGATTAATTATTAATTATTGGGGGGGTGTACACCCCCCCACTTTCGCGGGGCCTGGATAATGTCATCGAATAATATACCATTTAAGATATTGACCTCCGTATTCGAAGCTTATATAGATGTAATTGAATAGAAATCATTCTTTGTTTGCATATATACTAATTGTCGTTGAGGCTCAGAATTTATGAGACACCCTTTATATATGTCCCAGGCAAAATTAATTTTAGTAGGCGCGAAACAGAGAAATGTTTTTTATTGATTGTTAATCTAACTGTCAATAGAAAAAAAATAACTATTCGTTTACATAAACTTTAAATAAAAAAAGCAGAACATTCTTTTTCACGTATTTAATCGTATCATAAGTACAGTAATGACTTCTCATTCAACATCAGAAGTTGAATCTCGAAAACAATTTTATAAACAAGCAAGTAAACATCTTAAATCTTTATATAGCAGATTTCGAGAAAAGATAGTAATCATGCAACCCATGAATGAAAAGATTATTCTTCATCGCTTTATGAATAAGTGTTCAACAGATTTCGATTCACGTTTTACATCTTGGTGTAGCATTTCTTTTGTCGTACAAAATACTGACTTGAAAATTTTACTATGTGATGCAAAGTTTAATTAACTGATATTAGTATATGATGCGATGAACGATGTTTAGAAACGTATTCATGTTGAAACCGAAGCGTCTCGAAAGAGATACTTTTTCAAATAATATACAGCTACTAAATGATTTAAATACCTGATTGTTTTGTAACAACTTTTCGATTATAGCAGTACTTCATGTAACTAGCTATTGAAAATCTATCGCAATTTAAACATTATCATAGCTGTCTAAAAAAGCTATTTGGAATAAATTGCATACAGCTATTGTATGATTATAATATCTAATTCACTTGTAACAAAATTTCATATTGGACTTCTTTTTGTAACCAGCAATTGAGAGTCTACCGCTATATAAAAATCGTCGTACCTATTTGAACATTTTCATACATATCTTAATCGATCTGATAACTTATTATAAATAGGTAAAAGACTCATTCAATGCTTGAAATGATCCTTGCTCGAAATAAAATAATTCGAATGAATAAGTACCTGAGTATTTATTAAAAAAACTACACATATTTCTTTAGTGTCATTAGAAATTAAAAGGTTATGAGTTGATGAATTTTCTTTTTTTTTGGCCCTTGCTCGAAAAAAATCAGTTAGAATACATGGGTGGTTGAGCAATCATAGAACAGCTACGCTTATTTCTTCAATATCGTTAGAGATCAAAAAGGTATTAGTTGACGAATTTTTGTCTTTGTAGCTCTTACTCAAAATATACCAGTTAGAATACAGGAGTAGCTGAATATTTTATTAAACAATTACACTTTTTTCTTCAGCATCATAAGAGATTAAAAAGTTATTTGTTGACAAATTTTCTTTGTTTTTCCGCCAAATGACTGCTGCACGATACAATAAATCCCTAGACAGTTATCGATGAATTACAAGAAATATAATTGACGTCTTTATAATACTTTGTGTTTCATGTCGAAAAAGAAAATATTACAAAAACCAATATTATCAATATTGCCAACAAGTTCGTTTTTGAACGTTCAAACATCTATCTCTTACACTAAAATTCTCAACATATAGAATAAATATAACCTTACTCTTAAAGTATATGAACATAGATGTGAAAAAGGATTGAAATAAACATAATCTTAATCTTCCTCCTTTTTTTGGTCGAGTAGACGTTTTTTTTTGCTTAGCTGTTTTTGATTGAACGATCAAAGTTTAGATGTAGGTATTGTGCTATTTATCAACGAGAGAACTCTATCAATCCATAGCAGCGTGTTTCAGGCATACTGGTGATTACTTAGTGAATCATCTATGTAATTGATTATATGGTATCTGCTATTCTTACAGTGGTCATATACAAATAACTTTACGAGAGATTAATGTTTATTGCAGTTTTTGTTGATAGCATTTTATATTGAATCGTAAGAAAGACTATGTCCACATAAATCTATTTATCGAGCTTTCTGTAAATAAACAGATCTTGTTACTAAAGATCAGAATCAAAACAAATAGTTAATATAAGAAACTCTACGACAATAGATTATTAAAAGGGTAAAAAATATCAATAACTTCATTGAAAGACTAAAACTGACTTCTATTCAAACAAAATATGTTGTTTAATCTTTCGAATTTCTTGCCTTTCAAAACTCAACTACATTTTAACAGACTATATTGACGAATCCTAAAAATTTCTAAAATCGATTAAATTTTAATAGAATATAATGGCTGAACTCTACATCTTCCTAAATTTTAGTTAGATTTGCATTAGAAAAAGTGGCGAACTCTACATCTTACAAAATATTGTCTAGATTTGCATTAAAAACGCGGAGTAAATTGTTAAGTTTGAAAATTTAGATAAATTTAAATTTAACTGGGGCTGAACTTAAGGGGCTCCCCCCGTCAGAAAATCGATTTTTCTGAAAAAATTCGATTTTGAGATAAGCACATATACTGAAAGCCCAAAGTGTCCTCTTTCAGATTATGTGCGATTTATTGCACTTTGAATGGTTTTTGATGGTGAAAATAGCGGTTTTCTGGGAGCAGTAGTAGAAATATAAGGTTTTTCCAGAAATTTTCCGTAGTTACGGAGATGTGACAGTGGTCAACAAACCTGTAGATGGTTCCAAATGAGAAATACATATACATTCTGTTATTATCATTAATTACAGCAATATGGCGGGTTTTTAGAACGAGATTTTTGGAACCGTTTTCTACAAAAAAAAGAGGTTCAAGCGATTTTCTATGCTAGTTTACATTCATTTTTGCTCATTCCAAACATATATAGGTTATTTTCGATTGCGCATCCGCTGAACACAGTTAGAGGGTACTCTCTGAGATAGCAAGAGGAAAAAAACCAGCATTCCACTGTTTATTGTGCACCTAAATCAATAAAAGTTTCTACTGAAAAGACAACATCTGTCTGTTTATGACAATCATAACTAATTAATATCTGATGGAAATTTGGATCTTAGAATTTCTTTTATCAAGGCCGGCCACTCATATGTCTCATAATCTTCCGAAGTTAATTTTTTTTGCTGACCATCTCCCATCATCGTAGTGGTTTCTGCTTCGAGTCCTTTATACATGACGAAATTGTAGTATAGAGGTCATGACAGTCATAGTGAAATCAAAAATTGTTTCATATTCTTATTTAATTATGTCACTTAAAAAGAGAATTTTACGCTGATTTCAAACATATACAACACTGATTACTTTTGTTACATTCACACCCATTTACACATCTCACAAACTTGTTGATTCGTTTTCTCAAAATCACTTTTTTGAAGAGTTAGGAACCGATTTCTCAGACTATAGAAGAGGTAGCGAGCTACCGTTTTTTTGAAATAAAAGAAGAGACCTATGTCTAGAAATGTATATAGCGTTTTTTTGAAATTCGATTTCCTTGTTGAGGTAACTGGATAACACTGATGTCAAAAAACGCTAAGTTCCGAATTATTGGAGAAAAATGTCTCGGAAATCCGAACAAAATCGAATTTCGAAAAAATGGTATATACATTTGTAGACTCAGGTCTTCTCTTTTATTTAAAACAAACGTTAGCTCTCTAGCTCTTCGACAGCCCGAGAAATCTGTACTTTACGAAGACCACCATTTTAAGAACTAATTTGTCCATAACTCGTTAAAACAAAAATTTTATGAATCAAAAATTTGCAACAAATTAAGTTAACGCAACACACATATTCCCTGAAAATTTCAGCCAAATCGGCCCACGGATAACGAAAAACGATTCCCGAGGGGGGGGGGGCAGCCCCTTAATTTAAATATAGAAAATCAATTATTTATTCTTTGTTTTATGAATTGTTTTAAATTTGAAAATCTTCTAAGAATTATGTTTAATTTTGCCTGACACATATATATAAAACACAAGAATTTTTGAGAACGTCCTTGTTTTGCTTAATATCTTTCTTCGCAGGACACCACCTGCAAATACTTTCTTCTATGAAATCATCTATATGAACTATAATCAAGAAAATTTGTATTAATCTTCGAAAATATTTTTTTATTTTTATTTCCTTAGTGAAATGAATATAAACACCGAAAACCTTTCATATTAGAAATTAAAAGAAATAAGATCAATAACACATAAAATGAAAAATAACTGACTAAATACAATCATAAAATATAGGTTCTATTTAATGAAAAAAAAATACACACGCATGCAAATAGAATAATATTTATTCTCTTTAACGTTTTCGTGGTGGTCGATTAGTTGTTAATGTTGAATTTGTATTCATACTTCGTTCTTCATCAAAATCATCATCAGTTAATGCAGCTGATGCAAAACGTGGTGTTGTTGCACGAATAATTTCATCAACAGATGCATTACGGTTTTCATATAATAAAATATTTAATGTTTCCTCATAAATTCTTGCTTCGAAAAATTCAACCTAATATTAAAAAACAAAGAATTTTAAATCAATATTTTGTTTTTTTTTTTTTCGAACTTTATTTTGTTTTCGTTCAGTTGCATAAACAATAGATGTACAACAAACTTCAGCCATTTTTTGTCCATTACCATAAAAACTCCAACAACAAATTTCTTCACTACCAGTTACATCTTTTATAAATAAAATTCTATTATGTAAACGAATACTTAATTTATCAAATAATTCAATATTTTTCATTAACATTTCATCTGATGATCTAAAAACAAAAAGTTAACTTTATAGAAATATTCTTCAAAAAAAAAAAACAAAAATATTAACTTACGCTGTATATGAATATTTATTATTATGTCGATTAATTGCTAATTTAACAATTGGTTTACGTACTGTAGCTACAATATTTGGTAATTCTTTTGCTGATGTTAACATAATTACTTTACAACAAGCATCTGTATCACCGGCATTTTTTCTTGAACGTGTTCGTAATTGTTGTTCAATAAGGTCAACAAGAGATTCTATACAATAAAATTTTGTTTCATTTAATAATTCATGTAATGTTTGAATACATTCAGGTAAATTAATTGTTCCATCACGTAAATAATTTAATATTACATTAAAATGTTTACCATCACGATCGATTAATACCCAACCTTATTAGAAAAATAAAAACAATGTTTTGATTTTTGTGAAGTTAAAATTTATTTCAATTGTACAATTAGATTTCAATATGAATCTTGAAAGTGTTATTTCAATTCAAGAACGATCGAATTATTTAACAAAACTGTAGACCTATGAGTCATCCTATCATCTCACTCTCGGTAACACGAAAGCTAAAACATAGGAAACAAAAATATATCGTCAGTTTATTAAGAGTCAATTAAATCAAATGGTCAATACAGAAATTGAAATGTGTTTTAGTGTGATACACTTTTCTTGCTTGTATTATGCAGTACAAATGCTTTGTACAATGCACATGTAGGTACTTTGTTTCTATCCTTTCCTTCAACTTCAGTTTAGAGTCTAGAAGATGAACATGGTACAAGTTGCTCAATATAAAAGTGATGTATCCGATGAAGAGATTATGGAAGGAAAGTATAAAATAAATGAAAACGAAGAATCTTGCCGAAAAAAATCAAAATTTTGGATTAATGAGGCTACAATTTGATAATATTAATCGAGCAGAAACATCAATTTTAAATGAGAAGTCAAAACATTATACGAACTCTACAGAAAATCAGAAAACAATTTATTACAGATACAACAAAGCCAAACATCGTAGATCTTAATATAGAACAAATATTTATCTGCTATATTTATGCAGACAATAAAAAAAGTTACTGTTTGTAAAACTGAAGCTGAGCACGATGATCATAATTATGTGAATGAAATAAAAACTAATTCGAATCTACAACTAATTTTATACAGATAACAAAAAACTCTACTGATAAAATCTATACTTCTCATTGGTCAAATTTGAATTTTTTACTAATCATCATATCTAATAAACCATTCAATTCTTATACTGATCACTTGAGTATTTTCTTTTTACAGACTATTTCGTCTTTGTGGATAACCGTTGTAACGATTGCCATATCTAGAGCCTGTTGAATCGTAATCGAAACTGAATAGTCGCCCCGAAGATACGAGATATTTTTTTTTCGGATTCTTGCAGTCAGTGAATAACGCATTCTACACATTTCTCTCCGTTGGGTCCAAAATTTTTGCACGCAATCAGATCCGAAACCAATTCGATGAGTTTCTAGCCCCTATTTCTTATAACACATTGAATAAAATCCGTTAATTGATTCGTATACATACCTTCACTATCTTGTACAACTTCCATACGTCCACTAAACATTGCTTTAAACATTGTATCTTCTTTGGTTAAAGTATCAAAACTTGTTAGAAAAAGATGATTTCCTACATTAAGTTTAACATATTTTCCAAAATGATTATTAGATCCTGCCATGATATTTCGATTCGATGTCGATATTGATGGCACGGTAGGTGTAGTTGTATCACTCATCTGAAACATATGATTCATATACTTTTTTTTTCTTTTTATCTGACAAACTTTTTCATTTTCTATACTATTAAAAACAAATGAAGAAATATGAAGAAAGAAAAATAAAAATAAAGACATGTTCTTGTATATATATTTATTGATAATATGGACTTTTATAATTTTAGAATGAGACTTAATTGATTGTAAATGAACCTAATTTCAGAGTGAAAGGAATGGAACAAAACATAAATGTTTATTTTAAAGAAAAATTATCAATATAATTTTAAATGACGGGTTATCTCATTGATTAATTTCGAAGGTGCTAAAAATAAACAAACAAATAATAAATAATTTATATATATAATTTTATTAAACTAACCTGGTCCAATTCCAAGTACTGTTTTACTACCGGGTTCAATCTGTGTACGACCTTGAATAAAATTTTATTTAATTTATAAACAATTAATTGAATAAGATCTTTCTTCATACCTGCATCTCGTATCAGACAAGTTGTTAAACCTTTACGTTTAGCTTGAAGTCGTAAATTTTCTCTAGAATAAATAAATAAATATATCTATGAATAGAAGCTTTTTTTTTTGTCTTAAAATTTTTTTTGTTACAAATCATCAGCTGATTCACATTTACAAACAACTTTTGCTTGTCCACAAGAAAACCATGTATCAACAGCATCAGGTACTTGTTCACATGCTTTTTGAAAACAACCAAGTGTTGCATGCGAACACTATTTAATGAGATTTATTTATTCTTTTCTTCTTGTTAACAAAATTTTATTTCACTTACTTGTGCTGCTACTTTTCCTATAAAAAAAGAAATAGTTGAAATAAATAAAATTTAAATTTTACCTTTTCCCATTTTCAAATCATTTCTTACTACAAGTACCATCTAAAATTCGATTAATTTTATTATAAAAAAAGTTTATTAGCAAAATTTCTATGGGATTTAAATGTGAAACACGATATGAATGCTGTTGCTAATCACATGAACACTGATTTTTTTTTACTTAATCCTCCAGACATGCAATAAGGAAATAGTTCATATAGTGTAATAAGATCCGACACTGAATCAAATTGACTTTTACAGATTCGAGTTTGGTTCGGACCGTTGCCAATATATAAATTTTAATTTAAAATAATAAATTTTTGGTGAATTAAAATTCAACAATCTAATCGTCAAAATACATGACTTCAAGAAAAATAGATTAGAAGTAAGGAGAGAAACTGCTATTATACCTTAACATCCGAAGATTTCATAAGAAAAAAACGGTTGCATTCTGTTCCTGTTATTTTCTAATGATAATAAAAAAAACTTGTGTAGATACTTTTGCTAGTAGACCTGAGAGATGTAATTTAAATTATTTTGAGTTTATTGAATTTTTCAAAAATTAGTTAGATTTGATTCAGTTTAACGTTGCTTTTTAAGAACTGGTTTGAGTTCGGTCTCTGAATAAGATGTTATTGATATACAGTCTTTAGTTATATATCCATAACGACTGTCGAGCCTTTCTGAAAGAGAAAATCTGGATAAAACATTGCAAATTTTCACTCCTATATTTCTGTTTCACAAAATATTAATTTTAATATACTCACTTTATATTCTCCTTCGGCATCGGAACAACCTGGTTCGAACTACAAAAAAAACAATTTTCCGTTTCTTAATTTTTATTTTATGTATTATTATTTCTACTTACACTTGTTTCATCATCACGTTCATCTCTACCAGAATCAAATGCATTCGAAACAACTTTTACAGTACTACTAACAAATACAGATGAGCTAAATAGCCAACCAAGTGCTAAACCTTAAATGAACATATTATAATTAATATCATATATCTTCTTTCTTTGATTTTTTTACCTCCAAAAAATCCAGCCAAAAGGCCAGCTATAACATTTTTTTCACTAAACCAAGGAACTTGGTTCATAAGAAAACTAAAAAAAAACGAATAAATCATTGTTAGCTAATCGTTATAATAAATAATGTAAACTACATCTTACTCGCCTGAGAATGATGACATCGTTGGAACAAAAAAATGTTAAGTAATAACAAAAATAGAAAAAAAAATTTTATCAGATATTAATCTAAAAAAAACAACGCGTTGTTACAATGGAATGAATATTAAATATACATATATATATCGACAATGTACGTACATTCATATCGAAATATATAAAATGTATAGGATAATTTTTCTTACATAGGTAAAGTCTCTAATGGAAGATTATTGATCTTAAGAGAAGACAACTTATTTTAGATATTATATAGAAATATATATATCGAGCATGAAGATCAACATGTATCTAATGATAAACAAGGAAGTGATAAGATGAATAATGGTTAATGTTGTTCGTATGTCAATCAATTGTAATCTTTGTCATCAACACACCACTAATTGATGTCATTCATAAACTCATCTGTATTCAATAATAGAAAGTGTACGCAAAAATAGTCTTTATATAAAAATAATTTTCATTCTTTTTTTTGTTTTATGATTTTAAAATATACAATTGCTCAAGTGCAAAACGTGTACCATTAGTTAAATTTTCTTTTTGATTATAATCAGCTGTTGTAAGTAAATCAAATGGTAATTCACACATGCCTGTTGGATGAATATGTGCATGAAACATGACTAAATTTTCTAATACATTTGTTCGTTTACAAATATTTCCTATTTGTTCATATGAAAGCCATGTATAAGCATCAACTTCATTAGGATCAATTCTAACCGATATTTCATTACTTGTTCTTGATGATCGTATATGTAAATAAATAACAATATGATGACGACGTGGTAAACCATGATCAAGAGCAACTGGAAATGATGACTAAAAAAGAAACAATTTTATTAATATAAAAAAACAACAAAAAGATAAATTCTTATTTTTACCTCCCATAAAGCTAATGTTCGTGATGTTTCAAGTTCATTTTTATTTACTTCAATACCTACTTCTTCATGTAATTCACGAATACCTGCTTGTATTAACTACATTATATCTATTTAATTTTGCATAAAAAACAAAACAATAAGAAATATTTACTGTTTCGCCTTGCTCAATTCCACCACCAGGACATACCCAACATGATGGAAATGTTCGCATATGACTTGCACGTCTTGTTATAAGAATATGTTGATCATGAGATTCATATAGTACAACTATTCCAACTGCAATTGAATTCAATGGATTATCAGAAATAGTTGATGAATTATTTTGTAGATAAAGATTAGTAAATGGACAATATGATGGACGCTAATCAATAAAAAAAAAAAATTTATTTTAAATATCAAATGATAGAAAAAAAAATAAAACATACTCGAAATAAAATTATTGATTTATCATTACGTTGAATAATTAATTGATCATTTTCATATGAAATATCGACATTAACATATTCATTATTTGGATTTAATTGATGAACTAAAGGCTATAGAAGAAAAATAATCATGTTTTTAATCTTATTTAAACTTACTGTAATAAATTTCGGATAAATTTTTTGTTCATTAATATCAATTAATAAAATTTGTATCTTAAATCGATTATTATCCATCATCTAACATAAACAAGAAGGAAAAAAAATAATATGAGTTAAAGAGAACATTTTGTACAAACTAAAGGTTTCTTTTCTCCTTTTTTCTTTTTTTGTTTTTCAATACACATAAGAAACAAAACAATGACAAACAGTGTATATATACACACACACTAAAATAATCTAGTCTTATGATTAGAGATTAACGTTGTTGAGCACCATAATATTGAGCAACATTATATGGTCCACTTGAATATGATTGATGTTGTCGATGAGATGATGGATAAATTCCTTGTGATTGTTGTTGTAAACCAATCGGTAGATCATGTCGAATTGCTCCTTGATTATTAGCTGTTCCATATGGATCATTACGATAATTTGAATAAAGATTATAATCACTAGAAAAAGAAAAAACACTGATGTTTTTTTTTTTTTTTTGCAAAAAATAAAATAAATACTAACCGTTGATCGGGAAATTCTGGATCACGTGGTCGACTAGCATAATATTTTTCATAAGGATCATAATTATGATAAGGATCTCCTGCTGGCGGTACTCCTTGAGATACTGCACTACCATAATATGGATCAACAGCTGCTGTACTTAGATGACGATCATAAGGTCTATAGAATAAGAAAAGAAAAACAAAATATCTTGAAAACAAAAAAAGACAAATTTTCTTACCGATTTGGACCATAACTATCTAAACGTGTATGTGATGGTAAATCACGATAATGATGTACTTCTGTTTGTCCACTAGCAACATGACTACCATAACCTTGTACATCATATCCAGTACTATAACCATTATCACGTCCATCTTCATAATAACGATGAGAATCTGATCGAACATTATAAGAACGTGTTCGATCATAAATACCATGATCAACTGGAATACTATCATAAGGACGAATAGTATTACGAACCCAAGCTGAACTATTATGACGTATTGGACCAACACTACCAACTGATGCACCTGAACTATATCGAGGTACACCATTACTATTACCTTTAGTTCCAGTACGCGTACGAGAACTAGATGAAAAAAAAAACAAAAAAAACATTATCCTATTTATTTTATATTCGAATATGAAAATAATCATACTGTCGTAAAGCACTAGTAGGTTCTGGTTGACCTGGTCGATGTCGAACTGTACTCGTTGAAAGCTAATATGAAGAATGATTTCATTGAAAAATACAAAAAAAAAAACTAAACAATATCACTTACTTCAACACGTAATCGTTTACCATGAAATTCTTTATTATTCAATGCAAGTACTGCTTTTTCAGCTTCTTCTATTGAACCATAATGCTAATCAATATTCAACATATATATCAAAATAATATTATAAATTATTTATAATCTTACAATAAATCCATAATCTTTAATCACTGATGCTTCAAGTACATTACCAAATGATGAAAATAATTCATTTAATTCACCTAAATAAATAATTCATTAAAATAATATATTTAATTATTATTATACCTGGTTGTGTTGCTGGATCAAGATTACCAATAAATAATTTTGTTTTTACTACTTTAACTGATCCACTCATTGTATATGTTCGTATCTGCATTTAAAAAGAAAAAAAAGAAAAAGAAAAAGTATAATTATTTTAATTAAATATATAAATTTTCCTTTACAAAATTTTAACGAAAAAAACAAAATATAAACGCAATGAAATTATCTTCATCTTCGATTTTCCTATGTTTACATTAGTGAAAACGATTAATATCGAAATGATTAGAAGAAAGATCACAATACAATAATAACAGCGAAAAAAAAAAGACATACAAAATACGTATATACATCAACAAAAAAAAAAATAGAAAATAAATAATTTAACAGATACACAGTTTTTATTTGTGTTCTATAATAAGAATAAATACAACGAATTCTTTCAGATAAATCAATCGTTTCAACGTCAATGGCGCATAATTATTCGTCATATTGTGTTCGTCATCGATTCGAGCATAGATCAAATACGCAACAAACTGTGAGATGAATGAGAATAAGAAGCGAAAATATATACGTGCGTATTTTAATTCGTAACGAAACGCGAAAGCGAAGAATGCACAAGCTAGAAGAATAATGAGAAAAAAACATGCATTCGATTTTATATACATTAATAAATAGAAAATTCTGTTTTCATCTTTCAGAAATTCAATTTCATTCATATATATATATCATGGAAAATAGGCATTCGACTAGTGCATGGAAAAAGTGAAGCAGGTATATTAAAATCTCTAAAGTGATATTGTAGATTCGATTATTCTGAAAACTAAACTAATAATTTCAAAAATTAATCATAGTCAATTCGATATTGATATTATTTATATAGAATGCGGACTAAGATCAAAACTCATTAGAAGGAGAATTCCTCCATCTGACAAAGATATCAACAGTCAGTCTTTTTTTATATTAGAATATGACATACAATGCAAAATCTATCTGAAAAATTAACACTCACCAAGACTTCTACTGACGAGGGAAGCTCCTTAACTAATTAATCACTTTTTGAATCGAAAGCATGATGTACTCTTAATGAGTTATAAGTATCCCGAAAAGAGTTGAGGTTCATAGCTTATTGCTGCTGACATATTGCATTCTTACAATATAATGCCATGGTTCCTCTTAGTAGAACCTATCGGACTCGATGTGCTCTATTCCTCAGAGACACCAAGAAAACTGATTTTGGAATTTCGACTTGAAACTTTGCATAGAAACAAACCTTAACGAGAATGGATGCATTCGTGAAAGTATCAAGCCATTTGATCTATTTCTGCCCTGAATCTGTGAGTGTATATGAGCGATGTAGAAGATGCACTTTTACTATGACTATATCTTGAGATAGGAACAAAGAAAGTATCTAAAATTTTCGTAATAAATTATTCTTGTTAAGACTTGTTCCTATGCAAAAGGTTCAAGTTAAAATTCAAAAATCAATTTTTCTGGTGTCTCTGAGATGGACCACAAAATATCTTTAGAATGTAATATATCGGCAGCAATAGGAAGCTATTGTTTCGAATTCTTTTCGAGATATTCATAACGTACATGCTATCAACTCAAAAGTGATTAATCATTTGAGGAACCTTCCATCATGAGATATTAGATTGCAATGAAAGAAACATGAGGAAATCTTTCCATGTGATAAAAAACTTTTTACATGAGACTTGCATTATTAGGTAGAGTCTACTAAGACTAGACAAACCCGATAAATAATTCATCTCCTTGTTGCTTTATTTTCGAGTCATGACTGATTTTTTTTTTGGTCAAATGCAATTATGTCATTTCAATCTCAATTTTAGATTGAAATGATGATATGTGAACATGAATCATTATAAATTTTGTCTAGTCTTAGTAGACTTTACCTAATGATACAAATCTCGATTGAAAAGTTTTTTTTTTCTATCACTTGACAAAGTTTCTCCTCGTAAAAAAAAAAGAACGATCTAGTTTATTTGTTATATTGTCTTTCTTTCGCAATATAAATTCGATGCGACGTATATGTATAATCTTATCGAAAGAAAATTAAAAAAAAAAAACATATATATTTGTTTAAGCGAAAAAATATCTGAAAGTGTAAATTCTCACATACCTCATATTATCTAAATGATAAATTATTTGTTATAATAAATTTTTCTTCATCTTCATATACATCTGAATTGAACTTAGATGATTATATGTATGACAATATCAAAAAGTTTGACGTACACAATTATCATAGAAATCAATCATGAAGATGACGATGATATTTAATCGATTCAATTCGAGTTTATAAAGTCGTTACAAAACTTACAGTTTTTTTTTTTCTAATTTATTTACAAGTATATAATCACCTTTTTCTTTTTTTTTTCTTCATTGACATACGAGTTTCATTTGAATAGAGAATACACATTAAACGTACCGCACCCATAATTTAATAGAAATAAAAAAACCAATGAACCATTATAGAATTTGATAAGTTTATCATGAATTGTTCTTAAATGTTTTTTTTTTCTTCAAATATTTGTTCACATGTTAAAATATATATTGATTCCGAATAGCACGTACAAGTGAAATAAAAACATCACTAAATTACAATAAAATATCTGATGAAAATTTTCTTTAAAACTAAGATTATTTAAAGCATGTATCATTATTTTATCCAGATTTTCTCTTTCGAAGTAATAATCTCGAACTTCGGGAGAGGGTGGTAAATAAGCATAGACATATTGTACAATAACAATAAAATTCGGAAAAACTAATCGATTATGTTCGAAGAGGAAAAATCTTCTTTAATGAATAAGCGTTATTCATTTCGTATAAATCCTATGATTTACATAATTAAAATATTAATTACTATAGGATTTGTTTATTATACTTACACAAAAAAGAAAACCGAGAACTAAGAAAAACTACTTGAAAATGAATAAATAATATTTGATATTCTAGGGAAATCATTTGCATAATAATATTTAATGCATGAATCGAACTAAATAGATTAAATAAAAATGGATGTATATAAAAGGATTCATTCAATTTCAAACTAATATCATTGGTGTTAAAAATTAGATATTAATATATCTTAATCGATGTCGGAAATCAAATTTTTCCAAAAAGAATTTTTGTTTATTAACATACAAGATTATCGTTTCGATGTTTGAAATTTTCTTTCGCTGATTACTAATTTTGAAATGTCTTATTTTTATATATGACATTTTTCGTTAAAAAATCGAACTTGTTCTATCACTAATGCTCGCACGAGACACAAATGTAATCTCAATAATTAGGCAACAGTAACAGCCGCCGACTTGCGATTTTCAGCAATCGAAAGAGAAGAACTCTGTCTAAAATAAAAACTTTTCTAAAAATTAACAGAATTCAATTGAATATCTATGTGATTTTGTTTGCTCGATATTGAGATGCGAGCAAAAATTATCATCTGAATCGTGCCTTGGAAAAATAGATAAGAAGCACATGTCAAATGCAGATTTTGTTTTGAATGTTTTATGAAAATGATAGGTTTTAAAATAATTCTATCTTATATAATATCAGATAACAAGATGCCCGAAGTTCTCCTATTTCACCCGATTACTAGCTGTTACCGTTGTCAAATTATTCAGCTTACATCTCTATCCTTCGTTAATTCTGATGTAGATATTAATATTTAAAAAAAAGTAATCCTACAAAATTGAAGATCTACAATATTTTTATTATTCGTAGTGTTTAGTACAGACCTTGATTTTAATAAAAGAGTTAAACATTATCTCATTTACTTGCATAGAAACTTCACTTTTTGTACATACACTGAATATATATATTTATACGTACATAACGATAGAACCATAATATATCGATTGATTAAATTTTTTTTTTTCAACTGGTATCGAAACACAACTATAAATTCATATTGCAAAATATTTTCATATCTATTTCTAAACAACAGTCTATTCGTAGCCATTCAAATGATTTCCTGTCCTCTCACCAATCGTTATCGACGAATAGAAATTCATAGAACAAACTATGGATCATTTCTTTTTTTTTTGGATTCATATTCCTATGAACGCATATATACATATTCCTAGTATTTATATTTAAATGGAATTATAAAATCGAAATGTCTCAAGAACAATCAAACTCAATTTCGAATGATTTTTCATATTTATTTTTTCGTAATGGAGTTTCTTTTGAAATAAATTATAATGATGATGAAGATAATAATAATAATGATAATAATGTGTATGACAATAAAACTAAAATATTAAAACTAAGTGATTTATGTTGTTCATTAATTGTACAAAATGAATATTTAACTGAATATGCATGTGATATAATACCAAAAGAATTATTTTATCCATTATTTTATTCGGCATTAAATTCTACACGAGATGATACATGTATAAATATATTAATATCACGATGGCCATATCGAATATTTCGTTTAGAAAATTTTGTTAAAAAAAAATTAACATCATTAAAAATGTTATTATGTGAAAAAACAGCATTACAAAGAACAAAACAAGCTATTAAATATTCAGTTATTTTAATTCCACGTTTTATTGATTCAATACGACAACAACAACAACAACAACAACAACAAACACAAATAAATAAAAAGAAATTATCAAATTTACGTATACTTGATGTGACAAATTTTCCTGTTGTTGAATTAATATTAAGATATATATCTACACATTGTCGTTTAGCTGAAAAAGAAACAAAACGTAATCAATTAATTGATATTTATCATCAACAACATCAACATTTATTACCTGTTCTAAAATCTGATGATGAGAATAGTAATGATAATGGAGTGAATACTAGTATAGGTAAAACATTAAAATTTCCTATCATGAACTTATTGTGAATAAAATGTGAAACTCACATTATACTAATCAGTGATTGAAAAGTAATTAGATAAAATTGTTCATTCATTTTTGAGCTTCTTACAGGAGTAATAGACCATAGAAATTTGAAAAAAGTTGGATTAGTATCAGAATAGGCGTGTTCCATCAAAAATTTAACTCGATAAGGGTACATTTAATTTTGACGTTATCTGGAACGTAAGGATTTTAGACCGTGCTCTTTCTTTTGTCCAAAATGCTCGGAAGTAGGCTTTCTGGAAAAGTTTTTTGTTTTAACAGTCCACAATGATAGAGCAACCAATTCTCCACAGAATGAGATGTCTCCGAGCTCTCTAAGATGTTTTTTGGTCGAGTTACATCAATTTTAGTGAAAGGCGAAAGCCATTTTTTCTCATAGGAAATAGCAGGAAAAACAGCTTTGGCCCTTCACCAAAATTGATGTAACTCGATCAAAAAATGTTGTAGAGAGCTCGGCGACATCTCATTTTGTGAAGAATTGATTGCTCTATCATTATAGACTGTTAAAACAAAAAACTTTTGCGATCATTGGTCTAAAAACCAAAGTTTTCTAGAAAACCTATCTACGAGCATTTTGGACAAAAATATCCGCTAGACAAAAGAAAGAGCATTGTCTAAAACTCTTAAGTTTCAGATAGCACTACATTCAGTCAAAACCGAAAAAAGTTAGCATAGACCAACTTTCGAAGGAACCATGCCTATTTTGTGTTCTTTTTGAATATAGATTCAAAAATTACTCAAAGACGAAGAAACAATTATTTCAAATACTGGAAAAGAAAGAACAAATATTTTCTCTATAAAACTACATACTAATGATAAGGTTGCTGAAAATCATTTGTTAATAGTGAATCTTTCAAGATAAGAAACATCGTATCAATTTAAATAATTTTCTCAATTTCTATGAAAAATAAGCTTGATCATTCTTGAATGATGATTCTAAAACTATTCATTCTTATATCGCTTTGTATAGACAACAATCTCGTCTGTAATTCTATGCGAAAAAACGTATGGAATAAAGGAGACTATTGTTGCAAAAAGGGTCAATTTTTGCATCTCTAACATTTCGATTCGTAGCTCCTAAATCAGAATTTCTAGAGACTTTTTTAAGAGGTTGGATATTGAATGAACATTTTTTTTTCTAATTACTTTTGCTTAACCTTTTAATCCTTTGCATCTGGGCGACGTGAATTCGCGTCCTGAGATTTCGAAGCTTGGATAACTTTAAAAATTACGGTCTGTTGATTATTTAATGATATGAATTGCATGGAGATTTGTGTTTAGGATATTTTTGCGTTAAGATTCTCTATACTTATTGATTGTCCCTTAACTCTTTTAGTACGGGATTATTTTTATATAGTAAAAAGCACGGGAGACGGTTGATAGACAAAAATTTTTTGATTCAAAATCCCAACTATGTTATACAAAACGAAAGAGCTCGGTGAGTTGAGCACTTTTTGTGATGAAATTTGGTCTTTTAAAAGAAATTATGAAGAGTTCTAGGTAAATTAACTTGTAAAATTTTAGTCGTTGCCACACTCAGAACTCTTCATGGTTTCATTTAAAAGATCAAGTTTTGTCACAAAAAATACTCAACTCACCGAGCTCTTTCGTTTAGTTTAATATAATCGGTGTTTCAAATAAAAAGAAATTTTTGTCTATTAATTGTCCTCCATCCTTTTTATTATATAAAAATAATTCCAGACTCAAACGGTTAAGCATACTACAATTATTTTCCAAGGATAATCGATCGGTCGCCAGGGAAACAATCCATCTAATTTTTTTTTCTGTTTGCCTTGTTCCTTTTTTCTATATCTATAGCACGTCTCAGCGCACTATGATATATCTCGATAAGCTCAGAAAAATTGATATGGATTATTTTCCATAGTCATAACTTGATTAGTTCATGTTTTTTATGTTGATCATATGATAACTGTAGTAAATCAATGCATTATTGACAAACCAAAATTGTTGGCTTATTGTGATGTAAAACTATTTTCTCAGAACATAAGACGATTTTACAAGCTCATGAGTTTATGAGTGGGTGTGAGTCATTCATTGCTATGAGGAAGAGTCGTAAATATTTGTCTTCGAATAACATAATGTGAGATTTTCTATATAAAAAGAAATAGAATTTAAATGAAAGAAAAAAAATTTCTATACAATTTGTTTATATATAGATATTCAACCAGTAAATTCAAATGACAATAATGATGATCTTATTAAAACAAGTTCATATCCAGATGATATAATTATTATTCGTTTTGATTGTATTATTCAAGATTATCGTACATATGTTGAACTTCTATCGGCTCTTCGTTCATCAACTCCAAATATTCAATTACAAATATGTACAATTGATATGCGTTGTATTGGTTTAGCACTTGTTAGTAGTTTTCTTGATCATGTTGATAAACGAGTAAATCATTAATTATTTGTTTTTTAATTTATTAAATAAAAATTTTTTCTTAGTTTGTTCATACACTTCGTGTTCCATATAATGTATTAACACGACAAAATTTAAAATATTTTCTTCCACGTTTACCAACTTTAACAAAATTACATACATTAGATTTATCATGTAATTTTATTGATTTTCGTCTTAATCATGATGATTTAGAACAGTTTTGTAATGTTTTATCACAATTAAAATATTTAAAAAATCTTTCATTAAGTGGTTCACCAGTAACAAATCGTCTTGAATATATATTAAATTCAATTGAACATTCATTAGATGTATTAAATCTTGATTTTTGTTCATTATGTGAAAATGATTTAATTAGTTTATGTCAAATGAGTACACATCATCAATTTTTACATTTAGATTTAGGTACAAATCGTTTAAATCGTTTTATGCGTACATTATTACTTGTTTTAATGAAACAAAAACGTCTTGTTGTATTAGAACTTGATTATAATCGTTTTTCATCAAATGATTATTTAGAATTAATAGCTTGTTGTCAACGTTTAACAACATTAAAATGTTTAAGTGTACGTGGACCAAATTCTTTAACAACACAATTAGCTGCTGCAACATTTATTGGTGAACATTATCCATGTTTACGTTCATGGAAAATAGCTTCACCTATTGAATATTCTTTAAATCGTTTTGTAGGAAATGATGAACAAAATTATTTAATACAAACTATTATGCCTTATGATATGTTTGTTAATGAAATGAATAAACGAGCCAAATGTCTTGTTTCTATAGCTGAACTTACTGTGTGATAAATAGAATTTTTTAAAGTAGTTTTTTTTTTTAAATTCTTTTGTGTGTGTGTTTTTTTTCTTTAATAAAATAATGATGTAGATTATAGTTGAAAGTATTTGTCAGTTATTATAATTTAATACTTGTTCATTGATATACGTACATAATTTTCATAAGATCATTTATTCGATGAAAATGAGAATAAATGAAGACAAACTTTAGAAGAAAAAATCGTGATTTATAATGCATGTGTTTATATTATTATTTGTAGGATTGTACTGTTTTATTGCTCACTTATCTTCTATTGGATTTACTCCCGAGTCAGTTCTATTCAATGACTCTTATTTGGGTACCTTCTCAACCCGATCCTTTCCAATGATTTTACAGTTTGATCTTAATATTATCAATTATAGTGATTCAGAATTATATTTAATATAGAATAAGATAACTTGTATCAAAAAGAAAGAAAAATACCAAAAGTTATTTATATTTATAACGCACAGATACATTATGTATGTAATGTAAAAATTAAGTTATTTTTCGGAGAGAGCGAACATGTATTTTTTGGGAACACAGACACTTTGTATATGGTACAGTGACCACAAACTACAAAAGGATCAAAACAAACTTCGGGAGGATATCATTCCCGCGGTCCTCTGGATGAATAAAACAGTGGGTGTGCGAATGCGAGTGAAATCAATCATCACACCCGCCCACACTTATGTTCTTAGTTTTTTATCATCATCATCATCAAATAATATAAAAAAGTCATTAACAATCAATAATTAAATAATCTTTTTGTTTTCAAACTCATTAACTTTTCATATCTACGTTCTCTTATGTATTCGCATACATATAGAAATGTATGTATTATGGGTGTGGGTGTAACTGCGAATCTTTTATGTTCCCTGACCAACATGCAGACATCTACATCCACACCCATACACCCGTAACGAATTGCTCTGCAATAAATTGTTCGATCATGTATTTGATGATATTCTACAATATAATGAATCAACTAATAAATAATGTCTTTCGTTTTTTACGCAGTTCGGTTTTGATCCCTGTTAATTCCAACAAGTCTAACAGATAAAACACGTGCGTGTTGTAACCTTCTCATCCTCCTCCTTATCTACCTGCTTGCTGCATGCACATACCTTACTATCTTTGAAAACAGCTTGACAACCATGAGAACAAAAGCCGTCTTTTTCTATTTATGAGTTTTTATTTTTCTTTTCTTTGTATGACGATGCATTTCACTTGTTTTCATTTTTGTTATCTCTTTCTTACTTGATGCACAGAGATTTCGTTGTCGCTTCGTCAACATTCTTGAAATCAACGAAATATAAGAGGCGCCCAAAAGTAAGAAACAAAACTGACACACACTCCTAGAGTGACTGACCAAAAAAAAAGTGTCAACAGAAGAAAGAAAACAACAATATATATATATATATAAGGCGGCGAAATTTTGCTTGTTGCATTCATTCACTCATCCATCATGGGCAACCACAAATCGACAACAAATGCTGCTAGTGGACAAGCAGCTATCAATACCAGCAGTGCAGCTGTGCTACCTCAGCGTATTCGTCGAATTGTACAAAACTTTCTTCTCGTCTGGCTCGATGCTCGTATTGATGAGTCGAAACAAGACTTCAAAAATTCACTAACACGTCTGCGGCATCTTGTGGTATCAATTACCACATTTACTGATGCTGAAGAATGCATCCAATTTATGAAGGAATTAGAAGAAGAAAAAATATTTTTGATTATTTCTGGCTCACTCGGGGAACAAATTGTACCGAAAATCAATGCATGGCCACAATTAGATTCCATTTATGTGTTTTGTGGCAATCGATTGATCCATGAACAATGGGCTAAAAATATGTCCAAGGTTAAGGGCGTATATACTGGTATTGATTCGATTTGTGAAGCATTACAAATCGATCGTGAACGATGTGATCAAGCTATGATCTCAATTAGTTTTCGTGACATTGGTGTATCGTTTATGTATACACAATTGTTCAAAGAAGTCCTTTTGGAAATTGAGGACGACAACACTAAATCCCTCAAAGAACTCATTGATTACTGTCGTCTTCAAGATGATATTGCTACAGACGAGATCGAGATGGTCGAACAAGAATATCGTCGTCATAAACCCATTTGGTGGTACACAGCTCCATATTTTCTTTACTCGATGCTTAACCGTGGTTTGCGATTACTCGATGTTGATATTATACTCAAAATGGGTTTCTTTATTCGAGACTTACATCGACATATTGACGAATTACATCGCGAACAACAGTCCACGAAGAAAATACTGAAAACCACATTTCAAGTATTTCGAGGTCAAGGTTTATCAATACAAGACTTTGAAAATATGAAACAAACAAAAGGAGGCCTGATGTCTTTTAACAATTTCCTTTCAACAAGCCGCAATCGCAAAATTTCACTGGAAAAATTTGCACGTCCGGCAGCATACGATCCTAATTTGGTTGGCATACTGTTTGTTATGACTATCGATCCGAAAGTCAGCGCAACATCATCAATACCTTTCGTCAACGTCAAAAATGTTGGCTACTATAAAGGTCAGGAGGAAGAAATTCTTTTCTCGACACACACAATCTTTCGCATCGATCAAATTGAACACATAGAAGACAAGCAGACTGATCGCTTATGGCAAGTTAATCTAACTCTCACGAGTAACCAAGACAATAAATTCAACACACTCATGGCATGCATACGTGAAGAGCTTAACTCGTCGTCAAAAGGATGGTCTCAACTGGGTGAAATACTTATCAAAGTAGGAGAGTCTGCAAAAGCAGAACAGCTGTATCAAATCCTCCTCGAAAAGGCATCTTTCGATAACGATCGAGCACATTACAATTCTCAACTTGGTCGGGTGTATGATAACATGCGTGAGTACTCAAAAGCACTTTCATTTTACGAAGCAGCACTTGGTATCTACGAAAAAATCCGTCCTCCGATCCATCTCGGCTTGGCTGCTTCTTACAATAACATTGGTGTGGTGTATAATAACATGGGCGAGTACTCGAAAGCACTTACATCGTACGAAAAAGCACTCGATATCAAGAAGAAATCTCGCACTTCGAACCATCTCGATTTGGCTTCTTCCTATAACAACATCGGTACGGTGTATAATAAGATGGGCGAGTACTCGAAAGCACTTTCATCGCACGAAGAAGCACTTGATATCCAGAAAAAATTTCTTCCTGCGAACCATCCCAACTTGGCTTCCTCCTACAACAACATCGGTACGGTGTATAATTCGATGAGCGATTACTCGAAAGCACTTTCATCGTATGAAAAAGCACTTGATATCAGGAAACAATCTCTCACTCCGAACCATCTTGATTTGGCTTCTTCCTATAACAACATTGGTACGGTGTATAATAAGATGGGCGAGTACTCGAAAGCACTTTCATCGCACCAGAAAGCACTTGATATCAAGATAAAATCTCTCCCTCCAAACCATCTCGACTTGGCTTCTTCCCACGAAGACATCGGTTTGGTATATTATAACATGGGCGAATATTCGAAAGCACTTTCATTTTACAAAGAAGCACTCGATATCAAGATGACATCTCTTACTCCGAACCATCCCGACTTGGCTTCTTCCTATGGCAACATTGCTAAAGTGTATAATAGCATGGGCAAGTACTCGGAAGCACTTTCATTGCACGAAATAGCACTTGATATCCAGAAGAAATTTCTCCCTTCGAATCATTCCAACTTCGCTGTTCTCTACAACAACATCGGTAATGTATATGGTAACATGGGCGAGTACTCAAAAGCACTTTCGTCGCACGAAATAGCACATGATATTTGCCAAAAATCTCTTCCATCGAACCCTCGCTACTTGGCTTATTCCTACGAGAACATCGGTTTGGCGTATAAAAACATGGGCGAGCATTTAAAAGCACTTTCATTTATTGAATGTGCACTCGATATCCGCAAGCAAACCCTTTCTCCGAATCATCCTGACTTGGCTACTTCCTACAACAGCATTGGAGAGATATATGAGAAAATGAGCGACTACTCGAAAGCACTTTCATCCCATGAACAAGCACTTGATATCCGCCAAAAATCACTGCCTCAAAACCATCTGAAAATCGTAGAATCGAAAACAAAAATTGAACTGATGAAAAAGAAACTGTAATTGATTGTCTTTTCTCTTGCTAGAATAAATTTCGTTCGCTCCTTTTCAGTTCACTAGGAACCTTTTTTCGATCGAATTTTTCTATTCACATGTATCGTAGGCACGAAACGATGACAGTGATATACGTGTATACCTTGAGCTTCTCCATGCACTTCTGTGCATACTAACAGAACGTTGAATCTCTTTGACAGTGCTACAAAGCCACTCCACGGGCTTCGTTTAGACGGATAGGGATAGGAAGCTAAGAGCGTTGCGCAGAAACGAGGCACGGTTGCGAGGTTAGGAGTGCAAGGGTAAGAAATAGACATGTGGGAGACGTAACGTAGGAGCGATGATAGAAAATGATATTGTCGCATGAATGGTATAGTGTAAATGGCGAGCACGATATCCTACATGCCTTCACATATTTCATTTCAGTTCCAATGTTGAAAATAATTGAAATTATATGATATATGTATGTACATATCATCATGTCTATGTGTCTTTATAGGTACCATTTTAGTTTCAACGTTAAGTACAACTGAGAAGAAACGACATGTGTACAGACTAAATGGATTGAGAGATAGAGAAAAGCAAAATACCGTGCAGTAGATCCATACATTTTTGACGTCGGCATGTAAACTAGAGCTTTCGTATTAGGATGGGTACTTGAATAATGCTGAAGCTTGTGTATTGGGTTTAACAATTGAACCTAATGGATTAGGATTATTTGTATTAAAGTTAATTCTTGTAAAGGTGTTGGCATTAGGTTAGCATTATTGCTAATTCTAACACATGTACTCAACGCAGCTTTTGGAGGACTACCTAGACATGCTGCCTGTAGCTTTTTAGACTGAAAATTTG